ATTTAGCATCCACCAAATACTACACTACACCCTACAATATCCAGTATAGCTTCTAGAACACTACAGGTATTCCAAAAACGGGATTGTTAGTGAATAGATTCTATAAAAGGACAACGAAGTCAAAGTCAAACACTTACACAGGCCACCCACTATTTGCCAAGTATTTTGCTAGTACCATAAATATAAAAATGCAGTCCCTGTCTTCAAGGAACTTAAAAGGAAGAGGGACAAAACCAACCACATAATTATAAAACAACAGAATAAATGCAATAGGAAAAAACATAGAAAGTGCACTGGAACACACAGGAATAGTGGGGGACAAGGGGGTTGGGGGAGCATGTTAGGAGCAAGTCAAGGACTATACTCCAAGTCTGACAAGGAATCCCCTTCTTGTTTCTAGTCGGGATAATTTCATAAACCCTCATCTGAGGAAGTATCCACTGAAGTACAGCCTCAGCTCATATTCTCTAACTTTTACTTCCACTCAATTCCATTCATCAATTTCAAACAAGGGTGAGAAAAGAGAGGAAAAGACAACTTTAAGTTGGCACAAGTAGGGTTTAAGTACCCTTTTACTCCCTGACAACCAGGTAAAAATTGAAATCACATTTTTTCAAATCTTTCTTACACTCATGATAAAGACTAGATGTTTTACAAGTTATACAATCACCCCTGTTTTAAGCCTTCTGTAAGATAAATCACCAAAACCTATTCAGTATGTAATTTCTTCTATACAAGCCAAATGGTGCCTCCATAGTTATTTTGCTTAATCCAACTGGGCCAACAAGGTATCCAACACCTTGAATACTGAATAAACTTCAGTAAATTTTCTCCATTAATCCACACCCTTATTCAAGATTTATTCAATTAGTAAATTCCTACAATACAATACTGACATCCAAAAAATGAAGATTTGGCTCTTGCTCCTAAAATAAACCTCTGTGGGAAAGTCACACATCCAACAGCTACGAGTATAAATGAAGACCCATGGGAACAAACAGACTACTATTTGTATCCTTTCATGGATATCTCACTTGACACTTCACAAAACAATCCTGTGAAATATAAGATTATCTTCTTTTTTTTTTTTTAAACCAGTTTGCTCAATTAACAGGTCAGCATATAAAACCTGGATCTTCTGACCCTTGATTGTACCACACTCTAAAATGTATACAAAATTTATCGTTACCACAAATGAAGATACTTCAAAAACCCTAAGGAAGGAAACACACAAGAAGGAAACAGCTTCCTCACCTATAAAATAAGCAAAATGTGGCCTTTTTGACATCTTTGAGCTAAATAAGGTCGCAAGGTGGAGCCCACTGCCCAGAAGTTTTACCCAACTAGTCTAACATAGAAATAGGCCTGGAAACTGGAGGAGTAACATAAATTTAAGGTTTACCAGTATATAAAGCATCTTCTATTATCATTTGATCCTCACTACTCAGTTAAGAATTATCTCTATTTTTACATATTTTTTAAAAATGCATCAGTGGAATAATGTAATTAGTTCAAGGTTACCCAGTTAGTAAATGGCTTGGACAAATCCTCATAACCCTATTACACCTTTTTATATAAGAAAGTCAGAGTAGCTAGTGGAAGCCTGGACTATTTAATACGGATCCAAGAATGTAAATACAAAATCTTCTGAGCTCTCCTTAGCCACTAGGCTACATGCAACTATTTTAGATGAGACAAGCTCCTCTTTCAGTAAAAAATATATATATATATATCTTAAGTAACGAACCAACTAATTTTAAAAATGCACTTAAAAGGCACACAATGTACATGCATACACACGCATTCACATACATACACACACTTCAATCACAAAGCATCTTACACTTTTAAAACATTGCATAAATGAAAAATAAGAATAGAACTAAACAGTCAGATAGGACACTAAAAGTACCAGCTTTTTGGTCTCAACCTATGCACTGTCCTGTACAAGTAATATGCTTTTTCATTTTTTAAATATTCATCTTTAAACAAATTATTAACAAGTAAATCTACATACTGCATTTTACTAATGTAAAATGCCTATGACTGTTTCAGGAACATAAACTATTATTCAGTTCTCTTCTGTGTAAGATTACATTATACACAGTGAGCATGCTATTCCTAAAATTAAAAGTCATCTGAGAGATATCACTAATATTTATACCATAATGTATTTATCATATCCTCTGTTCAAGATTCTGACCGACTTAATTGGAAATTCCTGTTCACGCATTCCTATTTCTAGGTGGCCTTTGAAACATCAGAAATACTTCTTAATATAACCAAAAAGGACTCAACTTAAAAGACTAACATTTATGTCCCACAGGCCTTGAAAACATGAAGACTAAGCATATATTAATACAACCTGAAAAGCACTTTCTTAAGCACCAAAATATTCCAAAGAATATTTCAAAGACTTTTTTGCAAGCAGCACAAGAACATTCTATCTCATACCAATCTCACTTTTACAGGTATCTAAGCATTCTAAGCACTACCTAACCACCTACCAAATAATCCAGTTCCTTCCAAAGTGAAAAGCTGACCCTCTTTCCTGCTCTTCTTCAAAATTAGTGTAGAAAGAATTACTGTAGACTGCTTAAATAAACTTTTCAGACCTGTGTACCAAGTTCTATATTTACGTTACTGGAAAACATCAGTGTGGTTCCTCTCTCTCTACACTTCACAAGGAACAGAGCAAGAAAAGAGCTTAAAAAACAGAAGTTACTTTCTATTAGAAAAGCAATTTTCAAGTGAAGACATAATTTACCTGTGACAGACTGACATCTATACATGACAGTGATTAAACTTTACTGAATACCCAAAACGGCAACTTTTTTTAGTTCACAATCTTTGAATTACACAACTATACCTGTTTTTATTTAAAAATAACCCACTTTTGGCCAGGCACAGTGGCTCACGCCTGTAATCCCAGCACTTTGGGAGGCCGAAGCGGGTGCATCACGAGATCCAGAGATGGAGACCATCCTGGCTAACAAGGTGAAACCCTGTCTCTACTAAAAATACAAAAAATCAGCCGGGCATGGTGAGACGCGCCTGTAATCCCAGCTACTTGGGAGGCTGAGGCAGGAGAATCGCTTGAACCCGGAGGCGGAGGTTGCAGTGAGCCAAGATCGCACCACTGCACTCCATGGGCGACAGAGCAAGACTATATCTTTTAAAAAAAAAAAAAAAAAAAAACTTTCACTGTTTTATATTTCTCAATGTTAAGCTAAGTTTACCCAAAGTTTGAAACAACTGATAACTTCTGGTCTGTAAGATCCCTACGGCATTAGATCTCTAAAACAGAAACCAACAACATATTATATTACAAGATACAACAATATGTATATTACAGTTCCTGAGTTTTCAAGGACATCAGTAAAAAAAGTCATGCTCAAACATATGACTGAAAGTTTTCAAGCCATATTTTACAAAGACTGTGTTTTTTGGTTTGTATGCTATAACTACTATTTAAACTGATCGCTTACATTTGAAAATAACTTGTGCGAAATCATCAAGGGAAAAGGGGTCAGTCACCTAGAGACACAACATTAAACTCACTCTTTAAGGCCATCATAAATACAGGTAACTTGGAATCAGAGAAAAAAATTCAAATTCATAGTAAGCGAAAGTGAAAATTCAACACAGATATATCACAAAATATATACATACAAAAGCCAAATGGAAACACGCTCAACCTTGATAGAAAAAAAATGAAAAGCAAAGTTTAAAATGGAAACCACCGAAATTGAGAAAGAATTCCAATGACATGACATTTTCTTGCCAAAGCGAAGGAATTTGTAGATTATATCATTCAAATCTCATTGTATTACATTATAAAGGTCTTGGCAACGGTTGACCATTAATCTTTAACACAAAGGAGATTCAAATCCAAATGAACTGTAAGACTATCTCTTCCAGGAGAGAGAAATGGAGTAATTTACTTTATCCACAATTGTTTAACCCAAAAGGAAGGCCTTTAAGGATGATAACGCAGAATGGATCAGCCTTCAGTCTACCAAGTCCCATTTCTCACGAAGTCTTGCACCAATCCGAAAAGAGAAGGTTATGGACACAAAACAGGCTTAGGAAAGGCTGGAAGAAAAAAATCTCCAATGAATGACACACCACATCATGGTTTATTCTCCTACACAATTTGAGAAACAATAAAGAAAAATATCACACCATATGTTTCAACGTATCAATTAAAAAAATATTTTACGACAGTACATTCAATTCTCTTCTTCGGGGCCGCAAAAATAATTTAGCTCCTGTTTTACTGATTACAGAGCAAAGGGCAAAAGCAGCTGCTGCAATGCAACACAGGCTGCTACAGAGGAAGGGGAGAAAAGGCTTTTCCAAACAAATCCGTTCCCCGCCCCCCGTTACACACCCCTACCAACTTATCCCAGTCTTTTACTGCCCCCACCACGTGAACCTAATCAATTCTTTCCCTTCCCCCACCATCGTGAAATTTCACGTTTTACAGCTCCTTTACCTACCCCTACCAGAGGCACTTTATTTTATCCCGCAGAGATTTCAGACCTTTCAAACTTTTCCTCCTTTTTTAATTAAACACGAGAGTTCGGAGGCAAAAGTGCATGAAATTTTTACATATATACGAAAAAATACCTGTTTCCCAGCAACATGCACGCTTCGATTCTCGAACCCCTCCCCATCTCCCGGGTTTCGCTTGCAAAGGCTGGGGGGAGGGAGCCAGGCGCAAATTAAATTTAGGAAGGGAAATCCTGGGTGAAAGAAGAGCATTTGAGGAAAAATGAGAGACCGATGAAGGGAGACCCCCAAACCACAGGGGTTGGGGAGGTTTCCAAGAAAGAAAGAGAAATTGGAAGGGACAAAAGGGGGAGGGGGGAGAAACAGACCGGAGACCAGGGGAGACGCGCCGGGCCGGGAGAGGGAAGGCGGGGTCCAAGGAGAACGAGGGTCGCGGCTCCCGCGGCACAATGGCCCGCCCGGCCCCCGCCCCGCGCGCCCCTCACCTCATGGTGCCGGCGGCGTAGAGGCTTCCCCACCAGCTGGGAGACGCGGAAGGCGCCGAGCCGAGGGGGTCTCTCCTCCAGGGGTGGGGAGCAGCTCGGAGACTGGAGACAAGTGTTCGGCTCCTCCTTCGGCGGCCAGGGGGCTACACCATCTCCTCGCACAAAGCCGAGGCGCCGGCCCGGAGTGTGGGAGAAGAGGGTGAGAGAAAGGCTGGGGAGGGGGCGGAGAGGACGAGGCGCGGAGCGGGTCCCCAGGCGGCCGCCGCCTCCCACCTCCTCGTGGTCCTGCTC